ATGGATTTCACCTGCAACTTAGGAGGTTTCAGCATGTGAGGTAACAAATAGTTCACAGGAACTGATGATACTGGAGATCATAGGTCTGATTCAGCAGCATTTACTTATATAGGCAGCCCCACTCAAAGCAGTGAGACCAGTATTTGAAAGGAATCGGGCCCAAAGCTTATAGCAGAGAGCAGGCAGTGTTCAGGCGCTCAACTGCTTCAGAGATCATAAAAAGCAGCAATGAAGGTGACCTAGTTATTTAGAAAACTGATTATACTCCATCTGCCACAGATATGCTGACTCCATAAAAAGAACACATCCATCATTCCTTGCAGGAACTCGAGCAAGAATTAAAAAAAGGTGGGGGGAAGTATTTTAAACAGTGAAAAAACTTAAGGAAAACCAGCAAAAAGGGTTACATTTTAAAGAAATCAGGTAATTAGTCTCCATTTCTCTATTACTGACCTTTAATGAAGGTACCAGACCACCAAAATGAGGCAAGTATTTTATTCTCTGTTAAAAATGAGAATACACTGTAAGAATGTAGAGCTACACTACAAGAAACCTCTGTTAAGTCTCTGGATAATACCCACGTTTACTCAGGGAACATGTCAGAACGTATCTATTAAAACATTGTGCTAACCACACCGCAGTTGCGGTGAGGATAGAATTTCCATTTCAATTCCCTGTTTTAAGTATACAGTAACTTCCTGGAAAAAGACATTTTGCCCTGATATGCTTTTCCATTTTACAATTTGAAGAAAATCTGCTAAAACATTTGAGTCAGCCAAGTCTGACTGAGAAAACTGAGAGAATGTTTTTCAGCCATAGTAGTATTGGCAAGACTTTTCTTGGCGCACAAACTAAAAAACAGTTTAATTTTAAAAGTTCAAACTTGGCATGTATACACTCCTGAAAGAATAGAGCACTCTAGTAAGTTGAGAGGAAGCTTTTAAAAAATAAGCTACAAAATACATGAAAACAGTATTCTACATACACGTTACTTTTCTTTGATTTTGTCCACATGGAAATTTGCTCCCTTTAACTAAACCAGTTTAGTTAGATCAGTTCAAATACCTTGAGGGAAGGCTCCCATTTTGGTTCAATGGTAATACACTTAAATTAAGATTAAAAACTGGTTGAATTAAACTAAACCTGGATTAAAACCAAATTAAGATTTGGTAACCCACCTTGTACTTACTGCAGAATAAAAGCACTCATACAGGCAGTTGACATGGAAGAGCTAATACAGTGCTAATTGCCCCAGAGTAAACTCTCTCATGTAGCTGTGCCCCTATGTAGCTTAAGGGTCTCAGGTACCAACAGTCAGAGCAATAGCAGTACAGTGGCAAAGGGTCTACTAGGGGACACAACTGCATTCATTCCCAAACCAGAAACAATATCGCAGTGTTTGCATGGCACTCTGCAGGCCAATCAGCTCTACTTCTTAGGTGAGCTACTGATTTTGATTGCAGCACTGCCCTACTGTGACAAAACTACTCGCAGAAGTTGGGAGCAAGTGCATAAAGCAGGCATAGTTTCTCTAAGCATGAGGGTTTGCCGTGAGTGTACCCTTTGGGGCTATATTAATTAACTCTTTCTTACAGAGGAAGAAGGATGGATGCACATCACACAAGGTGCAGAAATCTAACTGCTACCAATGCAGTTATACCAGTACAACCTCTAGCAAGATTGCAGTAAGTCACATAACAGCAAGACTGAAAAGCAGTAAAAAACACAAACTGTATTAACTTGAATACAAGATGTCCCCAAACATAAGATGACCCTCCAATAACTAGATTTTATATATGGAAACTTGATAAATTTGCTATAATTTTCCAGGTGTAGAACCTAAGTATTGGAGGGCTGTCTTGAATTTTCTCTACCTCCATCTCCCACTACTATAGCAGGGAAAACAATGGTTGGGGGCAGATCAGGTGGTCCCTTTGCCATCTGCCCTTCCCACTTCTCTCTGCAGCCTTCCTGCACCTGCTGCCACCTGACCCCCCCCAACACTAGCTCCCCACAGCTTCTTCCTCTTCCCTCCCCTCCCCCCAAACTCCCCCCAGTATCCACCTCTCCCACCCTTCCCCCCTTACTATCAGACACTGCTTGGGCTGCTCCATCTTGGACCACAGCACATGGAAGTTCAGCCCTTGCCTAGCCATGTAGCAGTGTCCGAGCTGTTGACTGTCCAGGCAGGCAATGCACCAGTATCAGTGCTTCTGATTGGCTCGGTAGGGGAAGGAGTGTCCATGCATTCTGTGCATAGGAAAGACCCCAGCCCAAGCTGGAGCCGAGCTGTGCCTGACAGTAAGAGGGAAGGAAAGAGGTAGGTAGGGGGCCAAAAGCAGGGAGGGAAGGCCAAGAGGCTTCTGTGGGTCTGACTCTGGCCTACTCCAGCCTCTGCTTCATATGTGAATAGAAGACGAGGGGCTTTTTTCCTCATGCTGATGGAGGGAGGATGACCTCATCTTGTAGATGAGTAAATACGGTAAGCATTAATAAAATAGATGTGTGGAAATTACTTTTTTTTTTTTTTTTTACCTTTACTGAAGAAGCAGCATACAGCATATCCTCAAGAGTGAAGTGGCAACACTGGTTCAGGTACTCCTGACAAAATTCTTGAATTAGCTGTAGATTGTATAGGCTATCAGCCAATGATAGTGTCTCTTTCAAACAAATATCTAAAATGAAAGAAAGGGAACAAAAATGAGGCATTTTTCACATCAGACAATGACGGTCTTACAAATAATAGGTACTAAATATTTGTGGGCTAGATTCAATTTGTATAATTAGAAAAATGTAAGAACACTTTGTCAATTTCAGAAACCATAAATATGATATCTTATATTTTATTACACTGCGATTATACATCTTTGTTTTGAAGCACCTTCCAAGACATACTATAGATGATATTTTTCATACTGATTGTGAACCATGATTTTCCAATGTCATTGTCAGTGAAAATAAAGGTTATTCTAATTTCTTGTCAGTTTATTCATACAATCAAAAAGACCTAGCTAGAAGGTATATATTACATTAACTACAGTATTTCTGTGGCTACTAGGCTTTAAACATTCAGGTACTACGAGGAAGATAGAAGGAAAGTTATTCATCTGTCATCAGTGCTCTCCAAGTATACTGATTTCCTACCCTTGAATAGCTACAAAGGAATGTACCACAGCACTAACAAACAGCATTCACCTGTAAAAGCAGTATCAGTTGAAGTGCTGCTGGTGCTACTGCCCTAATTTCCTTTCTACTATTCAAAATGCCATTTAAGGACATATATGTGGTAAAGGTGAATAAATGAGTGCAGTGCTGCAGCTGCAATGTACCTTTAATACCATTCACAGCTGAGTATCTTTCCCTTTTTCAGTAATAGCTTCTTGGAAGACTGACTAGCAGTAACAAATCCCTACAAAGAGGACTGAGAAGTTCTTAGAAGTGAAATACTGAAGGATAATAAAGAATGCATAAAAGTTCTCCTGTTTACACTATTTCTAAATGAAGACAGTATAGCTAGGTGAAGATGTGAAAAAACAGCCATGCGTCATCTTTTCAGATTTCAGGGTAGAATAATTTCTCCAGAACATCAGAAAAGCTGCGTTAGAATAGGATGGGCAATTATTTTGACTGGAAGGCTGCTTAATGAGTTCTGGTGAGCTGTAAACAGCTGCAAGGGTGGCCCCACTCCTTGACAAGCACCCCACCCCCCTGGTTACCATCTTGGGACTCCGGACTTTTGCCACCGAAAGTCCCTTCTCTTGCCTCCAGAAGTACTCCTTTTGGGAAGGGGGTTTGTGATCTTGGAACCAGAAAAAAACCCAACAAGTTATATACTGAAAATCACACATCCACAATAATATATCTTAATCTTATTTTAAAAATATTTTTGTCTTGATTTGTGTGCATTTGCATTGTGTATATAGAGATGATTGCATAATAGCTCAAAATGAAGTTTTGGGTGTGTGCATGTAGCAGTGAGTGGGGCTCCCCCCTACAGGCATGTGGGGGTGTCTGGGGAGGTGTGGGTGTGTGATTGTGCATGTGGGAGGGTGTGGTTGTGGGGTTCATGGGGGAGGGTTTGAGGGTATGGTGGGGTGCGCATAGGAGCCCCTCACATGGGCCCCCCTGAGCTGGTCTACATATGCTCCCTTGAGCAGGGCAGCACCCACTGCCACCCCCAGCTCACAACAGCCCAGAGCCTGTGCACCCTGCAGCACCTCTCTGCCACTGCCAATAGCCTGCAGCCCCAGCCCACCCCACCCCACTCAACTGTGGCATGTCCTGCTGCTCCCCAGGCATGCAGTGGGCCTAGGGCAGCTCCATGGCTAGACTGCCTTTCTAGGCATCCCAGGTGGTGGTGGCTCTTTCCAGCTGCCACCATCACTGGCCCCAGCCTCGCAGTACTGGCAGGGACCCATGTGTGCAGCCCTGATCTGGTGCACCCCATGCCTGCTCTAGACTTCCCTATCCAGGTTGAACAGCAGCATCTGGGTAGAAACTGTTGCTTGGTGTGGAGGAAGTGGCCTCTTCCCTTCACTGCTGCCAGGCACTTCCTGATGCAGCTGCCCAGAGCCTGCACTGGGCTGCCCTGCAGCTGCTCTGCACTGCCACTGCTGCCTCACTGGGCAGCCCACAGGCAGCAGTGGAGACACAGGGAAGCCTGGTATGGCGTGGGTTCTGGGCAGCTGCAGCAGGAAGGTTCAGCAGCAGCAGGGGGGATGGGGGAGCAACAGTGCCTAGAAAGGCAGTCCAACTGCAGAGCCACCCCAGCCCTGCTGCATGCGCAGGGGTGGCAGGACATGCCATGGCCAGGCAGTGCTTGAGCCAGCCGGGAGAGAAGGATCTGCTGTGGGCCAGACAAAGCCCCTCCCCGCCCATTGGCCCATATTTTGCCCACCTCTGCCTTAGAGTTAGTTGGATGGGCTTGCTGATATAGAGGCTTTTGCTTGGCTATGGGATAAGAATTATCTACAATACTCACTTTTATTAGTCTTTCCCAAGATTTCGTAATATAACTAAAAATATTTAAAAAAAAAAAACCTCGATGCCAGTGAAAGGGAGCTCATTTAAAGGAGTCATGGTCTTTTAAACTGAAAACATACAAGGTCGTTTCCTCTCTTAGAACATACGGTAGGGACAAAAACTGGAAGGGACTGACTGGTTAAGAGGGGACTTTAGTAGAGGAGTATCACAGCATCACCCTAACCCAACCAAACAAGATGAAGAGATGATGTAACCTCACACAGCTTCCCAACTGAGGGCACAGCTCCTGCAAATGCAGCCTGAACAGCCAAGGGATAAGGATCACGATCAAGTGTTCTAATCCAGGAAGGTGAAGGCTTACACTGGAAGAGACCGCACCCTTTTAATAGTCCTTTAAAAAAAAGCAAACTTGTGTTTCTTGGACTGGAAAGTAAATTGCTTAAACCAGTCATGTGGAACTTAAATAGCTAAAACACACAGGGTATTGGCTAGAAATGGTTGCAGTTTAATAGACGAAAGTACAATTCAGATAGGCTGTGTCCACATGAGCAGGGGTGTGCATTTGCAACAGCACAAATAGTAGCGGCACAAATCTGTAGTGCGCACCCCTGCTCATGCAGTTTGCAGCAGGACATATTGTCCAGCTGCTCCATCTGCTGCAGGGGTGGGGGCTAGCTGGGGCACAGGGTGTCTCAGTGCAGGGTTAACTGGCAGGCAGCTCCCACACTGAGGCAACCTGTGCCCCAGCCAGTCAGGGAGCAGCCCAAGGCTGCCCATGCACCCATGTTGAGGCACTCTATGCCCCAGTGAGCTGCTCCCCAGCTAGCTGGGACACAGGGTGCCTCAACGCACGTCTCCATGTTTGCCCCTGCACAAGGTATTTTGGTGTGCTTTATGCCACTTTTTTCCTCCAGTTTAACATAAACTTTAAGCTGAAGAACGATTTTAGCACAAAAACATATGTATAAGAACACGTTATAGCTTTTTTTCAGTTTAACATAAAATATGTGTGGTTTGTGGCACCACAAATCACCTGCAGGGACTCACCGGCTTGTAGAGGGACAGCGAGGGCCAGGGCTTACAGAGGAGTCCCACAGGCCAGATGGAATTGCCTGGTGGACTGGATCCAGGCCATGGGCCATATTTTACCCACCCCTGACCTAGGTGCATCAGTTGATTAAAAGACGACTGAGCTGTCAGTATAATGCATTTCCCTTTTTCACAGCTGCATCAAGAAAGATATTTCAAAGTAGAGATATGAAAATATTAATGCCATTGTACAAGCACTGGTAATCCCCTCATCTGGAATGCTGTGTAGAGTTCTGATCACTGTTCGTGAATGGTGAATTTCAAATAGGAACACAGCTGCATAGGAGGGCTACTAAAATAATCTGGAATGAAGAATCCATATTACAAGAGACAAATAAAAGAGCTTGGTTTATTTAGCTTAGTGAAGTGAAGGCTGATATAAATGTTCGGTGCATCTACATGTGCCCCTACGATGCCATTCTTACTGCACCATCATTTAGTACTTCCTTTAGAAAGTACTAAATGACGGTGCAGTAACATCTGTTACTGCATTGTGCCAGTAGCCCACAGTTATTTTTATCCACTACATCACTGTAACAATCTGCTATAGCAAGGGAGTGTGTCGCTATGGCGACGTAAGGTGCAGTGTCACGGTTTTTGCCCGCTGATGCTATGTCGCCATAACACGTTGCTATGACGATGTAGCATCTCACACAGAAATGTTAGGAAGAGTAAGCACCAGGGAGAAGAGCTATTTAAGCTGGAGAACAATTTCAGCACAAAAATATATGTATAAGAACCTTGTCTGCCTATAACCTCACCATGAATACATTTAAGCTGGAAAAATCAGAAGAAAGTTTCTAACCAGAGGATGGAGGCTTCCTCCAACAATAGCGGGGACCAGAAACTTAACTGATTTTAAGTTGTAGTTTGATAAGTTCATGAAAGGGGTTATATGTAGGGACTACTGTAATAATTTAGGCTTCACGGGATTTTAGGGGAAAGCTCAAAATCCAGCATTTACCTTGGAGCTCTGGAAAACTGTGATTTGAGTGGAAATGCCCCGAAACTGTGACAGAGGGAGGGCAAGAGAAAAATGTTAAAAAGAACCAAAAATCTTATCTGAAGTGCAGAGAAGAAAGATAGCAGAGCCCTGGAAGCACTGTGGAAGCCCCATGTGTTCCTATGGGCAGCCAAGTACAGGCTGAGCCCCTGCGAGGGCTTAGCCAATCAGGCTGTTTAATTCCCCACTTTGGCAGGGAGTTTAAAAGCCCTGGACAGAGTGGAGCAGGTAAGCACCCCCTGCCCTAAGGGCTGCAGGCATAGGCATGTCAAGTGTCTGTTCACACAGCTGGGTGTGGGATGAAGGGTGCCCACACCTCAGGAGCTTTCCCCCACCTGGTACGGGTCTCCCAAGCCCCACATTGCTTTGCTGCTGCCCAGGAGCAGAGAGGAATTTCCCTCTCCCCTTCTCTCCATGGCAGGGCACAGTGGGGCTTGGGAAACCCAAGCTGGGCATGGAGGAAGCCCCTGTGGTGGGGGCAGGCACCCAGCACAGGTCTCCGGAGCCTCACTTTGCCCCCTACACAAAGAAGGAGAGGGGGAAAAATCCCCTCCTCTCCCACACAGCAGCAGAACAAAGTAGGACTCAGGAGACCCTGCATCAGGCAAGGGGAAGCCCTTGTTCCACACACAGCTGTGGAGACAAGCACCTACCTGACAGAGGTGGACCCTCTATCCCCCACCTCCCAGCTTCATCCTACTCACCCATATCCAGCCAGCTAGGCAAAGCCCTGGGTGGGATGATATAGTTGGGGCTGGTCCTGCTTTGAGCAGGGGTTACACTGAGGTCCCTTCCAAGCCTAAATTTCTATGATTCTATTATTTCAGTATTTTGCATGGTGCAAGATGAAAGAATGAGCAAGTGTGAAGATGCCCTATGTAGCAAAGAAAATTTCTCCCATGGATCAAGTGAAGCAGTTTCCTGCAGGCACTCTTCATACAGATGGTAGTCCCATGGCAGGCTTCCTCAGCCAATCGGAGGCATGGGAGAACCCACCCTGAAAAACATCTAAAATTGGTTCCAGAGCCCATAGGGAGTTTGCTTTCCTCTTTACTGGAGCCTGAATTACAGTGGTCCCTAGTTATACAAGATGGTCATCTGTGGTAACAAGAGACTAAATTCATTAATCATGAGTGACTGGTGCCTCCTAAGTCTGGGGGGCACCAAATTGCCAACTGGGGGGGGTCCCCCCATGGCTGATCGCTGACTTGTGGGGAGAAGTCTCTCAAAGGCTGATCGCCAAGCCAGCAGCAAAACCAGAAGTGCACTTCTGCCAGCACTTCCAGTTTCATGGCTAGCACTTCCAGGGGGGTGCACGGATAATCTCAAGGGGTGCACAGGCACCCATGTGCACCCCCTATGCATCACCAATGTCAGTACCCCAGAAGGTGCACTTCCAATCCTGTCTGCCAGGCTCCTCAAAGCAAACTTAGATTTTCTTGTAAATTAAAATGTCATTAAGAAAACAAGTATTCAATAACACAAGAGAACTAACCTAAACATTAGACTGTTTCTGCTCCTTCCCCATTTGTTACAACCTTTCAATTTAGTGTTCCTTTTAGCTAGTTGACTTTCTCAATTCCAAAATGGCCTGTTGTATCTCATGTGGACATTCAAGATCAAAATATAACATGTCCCAAGAATGATACCAACAGATTATATAAGCCCAGGGGAGGAATTAATATTTTTAGTCTTTTTTATTTTATTTTTTAATAGTGCTCACAGTAGTAACTGAGGCCCTCTGCCTTTGATCTGGTATCCCACGATCACCTCTTGGCTAAACTGGCTAACTGCGGCCTTGACGTCACCACGATCCACTGGCTGGGTAACTGGCACTGCGGTAGGACCCACAGGGTGGTGGTCGACGGGAGCCAATTGTCTTGGTGTGCTGTGACCAGTGGGGTCCCCCAAGGCTCCGTCCTAGGGCCTATACTGTTTAACATCTTCATCAATGACGTGGACATTGGTGTCAGAAGTAGACTGGCCAAGTTCACTGCCGACACCAAACTCTGGGGTAAAGCATCCATCCACACCTGAGGACAGGAGGGTGATCCAGGTGGATCTGGACAGACTCGTGAAATGGGCGGACGAGAACCTGATGGTAGTCAACACTGAAAAATGCAAGGTTCTCCACCTTGGGAGGAAAAGCCTGCAGCATCCTTATAGGCTCGGTAGTGCTACGCTGGTTAGCACTACAGATTAAAGGGACTTGGGGGTCATGGTTGACCACAAGATGAACATGAGCCTTCAGTGTGATGCCACAACTAGCAAAGCGAGCAAAACACTGGCTTGGATCCATAGATGCTTCTCAAGCAGATCCCGGGATGTCATTCTCCCGCTGTACTCGGCCTTGGTGAGGCCGCAGCTGGAGTACTGCGTCCAGTTTTGGGCTCCACAATTCAAAAAGGATGTGGAGAAGCTTGACAGGGTGCAGAGGAGAGCCACACACATGATGAGAGGTCAGGAAAGCAGACCTTATGATGAGAGGCTGAGAGCAATGGGGCTATTCAGCCTGGAAAAGCGCAGGCTCAGGGGTGATCTGGTGGCCATCTATACGTTTATCAGGGTGCTCATCAGGATCTGGGGGAATGACTGTTCACCAGAGTCCCCCAAGCGATGACAAGATCAGACGGTCACAAACTCCACTGCGACCGGCTCAAGCTGGACATAAGAAAGAACTTCTTCACTGCCCGAACCCCCAAGGTTTGGAACAGACTGCCACCTGAGGCGGTTCAAGCACGCACTTTGAACGCCTTCAAAACACATTTGGATGCTTATCTTGCTGGGATCCTATAATCCCTGCTGACTTCCTGCCCGTGGGGCAGGGCGCTGGACTCTATAATCCTCTGGGGTCCCTTCCAGCCCAAACGTCTATGAAATCTATGACTCCGTTATGTGAAAGACCTTTATGCATGCACACAAAACAAAGTTTTTGGTGAATGTGACGTCATACCTTGGAGATTCAAATGACAAAACTGAAGTCTGAGTTAGCATTTTAACAACATGAGCCCTTTTCTTGCTTTAGTACACTGAAAAAGTCAAAAGGAAAATGTGAGGAAAGCATGCATAGAATCCTGACACCAAACCATACAAGAAAAATCTATCAATCAAATATTCTAAATTTTGGTCTGTTTTCAAATATTACAAGGGCAGCAGGTATTACCCTGGGAGGCAAAGGTTCGAGTATAATTAGGTATAAGGGAACCCTGTGTTCAACCTTTCTGTAAACTGGGAACAGAATGCAGCAGTATCACATTCCTCAATCTGACATTTGTTTCCCAAAACACTTTTTTATCCATTTCCTGAGCCCAAGACAACTGACTTGATGCAAGCAAATTCTCTCTTAAGACTGAATGCCTGTGAAACTGATGACTTTCTAGAAAATAGTTCTGCATAGAGATTTCATGACTTCAGATCTGAAAAATATCCAGCAGATCTACTGGCTGGGAAGCAATCCTACCAGCAGCACAGAAGCAGAAAGGGATCCTGGAGTCATAGTAGACTCCAAGACGAACATGAGTCCGTGTGACAAAATCATCAGCAAAGCTAACAGCACTTTATCATGCATCAGCAGATGCATGACAAATAGATCCAAGGAGGTGATATTCCCCCTCTATGCGGCACTGGTCAGACCACAGCTGGACTACTGCATCCAGTTTTGGGCATCGTACTTCAAGAAGGATGTTGATAGACTCGAGAGGGTCCAGAGGAGGGGCACTCATATGGTTAGGGGCTTACAGGACAAGCCCTATGAGGAGAGACTGAGGGACCTGGACCGCTTCAGCCTCCACAAGAGAAGGCCGAGAGGTGATCTTGTGGCTGCGTACAAATTCATTAGGGGGATGCAGCAAGGGATTGGAGATGCTCTGTTCACCAGGGCACTTCTTGGGGTAACAAGGAACAATGGTCACAAACTGACAGAGAGCAGATTTAGGCTAGATATCAGGAAAAACTTCTTCATGGTAAGGGCGGCCAAAATTTGGAATGGGCTTCCAAGGGAGGTGGTGCTCTCTCCTACCTCGCGGGTCTTTAAGACAAGGCTAGATAGGCATCTGGCTGGGATCATCTGACCCCAGCACTCTTTCCTGCCTAGGCAGGGGGTCAGACTCAATGATTTGTTGAGATCCCTTCTGACCTTAGCATCTATGAATCTATGAAAGTGTCAAATCAATGTGCTGATTCCTGGGTCCTTCCAATTCCTGGGTCACGACTACTCCCATCAAAGGCCAAGTCGTTCATGGAGAATCCATGACAAAGGATGAGCAAGTGTCAAGCCATCTCAGTACAGTAGGAAGCACACATCTTAAATCTAGATTCTGACAACATGAACATATAATCTGAATCAGGCAATGAACAGCAAAAGGCAGCTCATCACTGTGGATAAGCAAATGTAGTAACCACCTGGTGTTGTATAGTATAGATATACTATACAGTGAATACAAAATATAGTCTAAATAATGCAACTAACTATCAAGTTGGTTAACAAAGTAATACAAAAGTAAGAATTGAAAAAGTGAGGATAATTGGGATTTTGGCCCTTTAAATCTACACTTGTGATCTGTTTCATCTCATAAGAATAGATTTATTTCCTTTCACCAGTCCTCCTTTTCTAGACTGTTCCAACATTCATGACACTGGGGCATGGGCTCCCAATACTGGGTAATCCACAGAGGCAGCTCTTTAATCATCTTCATAAATTTCCATTTTCAGGTGATGGTACTAGTAATAATAAAAGTATTACGTTTAAAAAATAGAAAATTTGACACTTAAGAAATTGTTTCTAAACAGCACCATTTACACTTTTTACTGAACACAAAAACCAAATTTCAACTTGTACTGACATTCATTTAACAGCAGAAACGTCTATCATACATACTCACCCTCCAGTTTGACAATATCAGGGCAGTAGAAATGGATCAGGGCTGCTAAAGCACAACCATCTGTACCATCCTTCAGCAGATTTTCTACCAATGGAATGCAGGGCAGCTGCTTAATCAGTGTTTGCTCCTTCCTGTAACGAGCCTACCACATAGAAAGAAGTGATTAAAATAGAAACCGGCTCAAACATATGTGAAAATAGATTTGTACTGAGTTCTATGTTCTTTTAATGAAAGCACTGTACAGCAATCACTCACCACTGTCAGTGGTTAGTTTCTGTAGATTAATACTGATGCTAAACAAACAGGTAAAGTGTAACTAGATTAAAAGAAAATAAACCTAAAAAGCTAATATTGAAAACTGATTTCAAAACTAACCTCTTAAAAAGTCTTGCAGGTTATTAATAAGCTAGTTCACTCTGGATGCATCTACATGGCCCCCATGAGGCAGTTGTTAGTGGGCCGTCATTTAGTATTTGCTTTAAGAAGTACCAAATGACAGCGCAGTAACAACAGTTACTGCGCTGTCCCAGTGACGCATGGTTATTTTGAACAGATACGTCACTGTAGTCATGCACTACATTGAGGTACCTCATCGCTATGGTGATGTAGTGTTGGGATCACAGTTTGTGCCTGCCGATGCTATGTTGCTGTAGCAACAACCTACGTTGCTGTAGCACGTCACTACAGTGACAGTGTCACATGCAGATGTGTCCACTAAAACCAGACAATCCATGTAACACCTTTAAGGAGAATAACCTATCAATAGGTTTATTCAATTTAGTAAGCACTGAAATAATTAGTTACATGTGGAACATACTGGACTACATCATTAGCTAGCGTAACTCAACCTAGTCATTTGGAAGTCAATTGACTTTAGAGTTATGCCACATAAAGATATGACCTAATATGTGCTTCATTTATAACAGACTTACTGGCAAGTTTACAGACAAAAAAAATCTGCATTTGATCATTTTCATTATTTCTCTGTCCATACAACAGTACACTTATGAAATAATCATGGTCAATATTACAAAAATAAAGACCGCTACAAAAGAGAAATGTTTGGAAAACAATTCAACATGTCTGGAGATCATTAATGCTGAGTTTCAAGATGGTATCAATCTACATTCAATACATTTGAATGTTTTTTTCTTTGGCTCTAAATTGTTATTAATTGTTCTTCATGTCTCTTCTCACCATGCTCTGGGGAGGCAGATGAAGGAAGGAGAAGTAAATATACATTTTCTCATGTATTCTAATTTCTTGATATCACTTACTGACTTGTAAATGTACAAATGGTGCAGGACATGTATATTTTCTCTTCACCTCTCAAAACTAATTATGAGGCTTGACCTAATTCTGTGTTTGTGCAAGCACACACACTCGTGTGAATGCATTACACACCTACACATGCAGTATGAAGGCTACTTATTGGAGCTCTAAGAATTTCCTTATGCCAGACACTTTAATACTGAAGGTTGTATTTTGTGATCATAAGACTTTGGTGAAAATGTGATGGATTTCCTTTTGGAACATCAGTGTCCCTCTCTAAGTGGCCATAATGTAACTTGAGGTTCCACAGGCAGGTGGCACATGATAGAGGGCTTGGAAGGCAAGATGTATGACAAAAGGTTGAAAGAAACAGTCATGTTCAGTTTGCTGAAAGGGTGATTAAGGGACATGAAGGCAATCTTCAAAAACATAAACATCTTTTCTCTGTTGCTGCAGAGAGCAGGACACAAATCAATGGCTTGAAATATCTAATCTAAACCTGTTTTACTGCAATCAAGAAAAACTTCTTTACAGTTAGAACAGTGAGGCAGTGAAACAGGCAAGTAGGTCTGTGCGAAGCAGCAAATATTCAATTTTGATTCGGATTTGGCCAATTCAGAGGGACAGTAATTCGCTTTGGTGATTCGAATCACTGTCCTGATTTGGATTCGGAGATTTGGCACCAATTCAGCGATTCGGAGCTGGGCTCAGCCTCTGCTTCTTGTGTCCGTGGCTCGCTGCTGCTGCTTGGCTCCCCAGTGCCGTGTGACCTCTGGAGAAGCCACTGGGCTCTGACTGTCCCATGACCTGGCCCAGCTAGGGCCCCATTTGGAGTCTGGGGGCTCCTCCAGGGACATGGGCAGGCAGCTTCTGCCACTGCAGGCACCGCAGGGAAGCCGGGGGAGGGTGGGGACATCCCCCCTTCTTGTCTCTCCTGCACTATGCCCTGGAGGAGCTGCTGGGCTCTGACTGCCTCACAACCCGGACCAGCTGGGGCCCCATTCATGGTGAATCAGGCCCTGGCCAAGCTGGGTCAAGGGGCAATGAGAGCCCAGCAGCTCCTCCAGAGATGGCACGGCACTGGGGAGCAAGGGGGAGAGGCTCGTGGTACCCCAATCTTTGCACAGGGCAGGAATGAGCAGCAGATGGCCTCAGCCTCTGCTCCCTGCATCCATGTGTCACTGCCACTGCTGCCTTGAAAGTGGGGGGGCGGCGTGTTCATCCCATTGCTAGGCAGGCCAGGCAGTGAGGCACTGTGCCATGCCACATTCAAAGCAGTGGTGGCAGCAAGGCGCAGATGCAGGGAGCAGAGGCTGAGCCCACCTGAGTCCTACCCTGTGCAGAGATTGGGGGCCCTCATGCCCCCATCCCTCTTTGCTCCTTGGTGCTGCGCTGCCTCTGGAGGAACCACTGAGTTCCAAATGCCCCATGACCCAGCCTGGCCAGGGCCCGATTCACTGTGAACAGAGCCCCAGCTGGGCCAGGTTGTGGGGCAATCCCCACAATGCAGAAGGGAGAGGGGCAGGAATGAATGATTTGCCTTGCCCTTATGCCACTCTCTATCTGCCCCCCCAACATAATTAAAAGAAACTTGCCTGCCTATGGCTGGGCCTGCTGTGATGAAAAGATAACGAGTGGTGATTAACACCTACAAACCACAGACTGATGAAAGGAAAAAAGGAAAAAATCAATACCAGCACGGGGAGCTCCTTGAACTCTACTGTCCGTGCAAAGCCTCCAGTTTGAGTTAATCAATGCCAGAGACAAGTTCCTGAGACTGAATACCACCCGACCGACCACTCCTGGAGTGCCTATTCACGCCCATGGTCACCCCATGCCCCTCTCTCTTCTCAGTTTCTGTTTCCTGCAAGCCTTCTATATCTCCCCGAATCAATTTGAAGGCTTCCGATTCAATTCAGAACTTTTAGTGGGTCTCCCAATTCGATTTGGATTCGGAGATTTGGCTTCCAAACATCCTCTGAATGAAATCGGCTACCGAAGCTTCGCACAGCCCTACTGCCTAACGAAGTTGTAGAATCACCATCATTGGAGGTTTTTAATAAGAGGCTGCATGAGCATTAGTCATATATGATCTAGGAGTAGCTATGCCTGGAGAACAACTGTTGGAAGTACGGGAACACCCACTTCTCCCCTAAAATTACTGGGAGATGAGAAAAACTTTGAGCTGCAGTAGAGGTAGATATTGGGGAGGAGTATGCTCAGCTGGGCAGCTCCTGCTGCAGGCAAGGAGACCAGAGCAGCACCAGGAACAGCCTAACAACTGGAAACTGCACACACTGGATGGGGCCTAGGCCAGCAGGCAGGGACTGCTGCAGTGGGAGAGGGTGGGGCTCGGCCCCACGTGCATTGCCGCAAGTGCAATCGCAGGCTGGTTCCAAGCAGCTGGTGGGCCAGATCCAGCCTGTGGTCCATATTTTGTTAAAGAGTGTGATATATAGAGTTATGTTTACTGTCTTCAGGCTGAACAGCAGAATGGAGAGTGGCTGGTTTCTTCCCATGCTTCTAGGATTTCCTGGTTGCCACATGCGGTCAGGAAGGATTTTTTTTCCATTCTCGTTGCTACAAGTTTCAGGCTGTTTCTTACCCCCCTTCCCTCCTCAGAAAAACATTTGGTGTTGGCTGTAGCCAAATTGGGAGATTTTGACCAGGGTGTGCCAATGCTCCTGCTGGGATTAAATCTGGAGGTTCCTAATCACCTAATCACCACATTTTGGATCACAAAGGAATTTTACTCCATGATCACACTGGTACACACTGTGGGGATTTTTCCATCTTCAAACAGAAAACAACCCTCTTCCTTGGACCTTTTGAGTGCGTTTTAAGAAAACTTGCAATGGAAAATACACCGATTCCGGCAGATTAGGGTTATTTTGGTGTTTTTGGGCAATGTGCCTGGTAGTGGGGTTGACCGTGTAGATTTTGCAATAGGTTAGATAAGGACTTTTGTAGAATAGTTTGAATGCAGATGAGTCTGCCTTGAGCAGAGGGTTGGACAGGATGACCTCCAGTGGTCCCTTCCATCCCTACCTTTTCTATGATTCTATGCTATGTTGAAATTCTGAAGACCTTTTATAAAGGCTTTTGCAAAATGTGGCAATTAACATGACCATAATGATAAAGTACACATTAACAAGCATATAGTATGTTTAATCACAGAACTGTTACGGCACTGTGTTTAATAACAGCACTGAATGTGTACAACATTTCTAGGGACTTGTATTCACTACTGTAATTAAAAGTTGTTGCATTCAAGTTACTCTACTTGACCTGGCCTAGTGAATGATAGTAACCTGCTAGCTGCACAGAATTATGACATTAACAGACTGACTGTATTAGCAGTTGATTATTTGTAGCAATTCCCCTGCTGCATTAAAAGCTTTAATCTGCAGCCCTTCAGCTTCAACCTGTGCTCCTTACAGAACACCTAAGAAGTGATTTAAATTCACGTTAACTTGAGCTTCAATTTTTTTGAGTACTTACAACAATAAAGTTAAAAGGTAAAACTCAAGTCATAGTTCTAGATAACAATGTAGTGACGACAAACCCTCACATACTGTGGGAAGATCATCAGTAAATAAACACTTTACTGTTCTGTCACTACTACTCTTGTTTAAAGTACAATATGTAACATGAAGGGAAATGTATTTTATTTTTGTAGTCTGGTGGTGACCACACAGGACTGTCTTTTTCTTTCCTTTGTTAGTCATACAGCCCTCTCAATTTTCAAACAAAACTGAAAAGATATTATTCTATCCAGACTGTACATTCTTTCAATAGATGTAGATCACAATAAAGGAAGTGAAGAGTACAGTGAAATTGTATGCAGCTGAAAGATTCTTCTGGATTTGAGTTGAATCCACTAGAAACAGAATTTTTGAAGCAGCTGCCCAGCTCATTTTTTTATTCTCACAAACACACAAACAATTTTCTAACTAACATAAAAAGCCATCTGAGGGACCGGTAGAGTGCTACAGGGTTATCTTTGGACTGAAGGTAGATTATAAGTACCTCTTTGAACCTACTTCAGAAGTACCTCTTCAGAACAAAATTAGGTGTCTGATACTGCATTTACTTGAATACTTCAAGATTTAGTTCACATATAGAGAACATATTCATGCAAACAAGAAGGGCTTATTTCCCCCTAGTGCTAAAATATGACAGAGTCAGGTGGACACAATCTAACTGCACACACTTTAGGTGCAAGCTACCATCATATAATAAAGGAAAATGACAATCATCTTCAGAAGAGGCAGAAGAAAAACAGACTGAGGTATTAAGTGCAGACTCTTTTAAACTAAATGAAACTTTAGAATTTTTTTTGAGATAAATGCATATGTATGATCATCTTTTGTCACCCTAAATACATATATTTAATGGAAAACTGAGATAAACTAGAGCAAATGGAGTACGTGGCAACTGCATGTTGTTAATGAAGGTCTGAAAAGTTCTAGTGCAACTTCCTAATAACAATAAAAAAAAAAGTGTGTTTTCCCTTCTTCCAGGGATGGCTACAGCATGTACTGAATGGAAGTTTCCCCATGAACAGGGAAGACTAACCTACCAGAGTAAAAATGCTTTATATGCTGAGCTAAAGTTTGAGGAGGCAGCCTACTATACCCTAAGGGATAAAACATATCCGCATCAGGTGCACAGTTTCCCAAATAATTTCTGAGATCTAACAACATACCTTACACTGTTCCCCAAAATTACCTTGTAAAACTGGATTCTAAACTATATGCTCCCTTTGAACAGCAATCCGCTGTAACGCAATCTAATTGGGATAAATGGAATGAATGATTATATCAGCATGACATGGACAAAGCCATTCTCAAATTAAGCTATTTGATCAAAGTGAAGCAGTTGGGCAAACTTACAGGAACCAGTTTCCAAAACCATTTGGTAGGAGACTTCAGAGGAAGCAGTAGGGAAAGAAAAAGAAAAAGCAAAAGCAAAGGAAAAAAGGAAAAAAAAATAAATCAGATTTTACAATTTATTCTTATAAAGCAATTTTTAAACTTCTCAGTTTTGTACAACTGAATTGTAATCTCATAGTAATATGCTTGGAATTGTTACCATCATGCAGTATGACAATATAATTCTTAAAACAGTACCATTAATACTGGAAATTCTAGTTATTTTTAGAGCAGCAGAATCATCTTCCCATAACAAACAAACAACTTTTCAAATCTGCAGGTTCCCCGGCTCCCTATGTCCTCACCTATGTAATTACACCTTATATATGCAATCCATTATGCCAACTGGAGGAATGAATTTGAAACCTGAGGTA